TCATTACGCGCTCCCTGAACCTTCAGCTGCGATCGGAATCCAGGAAGTGAATCGAGTTACGGCGCGGAATGAATTTCGCATGGGATCCGGCTCCGTCCTGGCGCTCGGGAGGACAGGGCGTCAGCTGCAACGCAAGGCGGGGCTGGCACGACCACATGGCCGCGGGGCTGGCCGCCACATACGGGCGTGCTCCCGGGGTACAGGCCTCCGCCCTCCCGGGGACACGCAGCACGGTCCGCGCTGACCCCTGCAGACCCGGCCCCGCGGGCCTTTGGACTGCCTCGCGCAGCTGCCGGCCGGAGAGCCCGTGTGTCCGGGAGAAGAGAAACAGGCTCACCTCCTCACCTAGCGCAGCAGGTGTGCCAGGCCGCTGAGCCTGCGCCAGGGCAGCATGGGCAGGCCAGAAGGCAGCGGTCCAGCGCCGGGGTCCCCGCCCTTGGGAAGACCTCAAGAAGATGCCTCCGCCCCGCCCCGCCCCGCCCCAACGGGGCCTCAGCCTGGTGGAGGGGTGGGGTGGGGTGCCCCTCTCACTTCACTAGGACCCGCCAGGACCTCACCACCTCACCAGGAGGGTGAGTGCTGTCCTCATAATTCCCATTTTTCAATTGAACAACCGAGAGCCCAAAGGCCGAAATTATCTTCTCTGAACCCCAGAGCTCCTAAACAGGCGAACTGCCCTGTGGGTGGCGAGGGCAGGAGAGCCTTGCGGAGGCCCCGCCCCAGCGCCTCCTCACCCCCGCCTTTAAATGGCACCGTCCTCTCTTTGCGGATCCTCTGGACTCCCACAGACATGCCCTTCTCTGGAGCACCTTGAATCTTGCGTCAGGGAAATGGCCTCCCGCAGACTACCCTGCTAGTTTCCCAGCCCCACTGCGTGCAGGCCCTGGGCGCACCCCCTCCCCTGTCCTCCGTGAGCCTGTGGTGTGTGGTCATGGGCCCACTTCCAGAGCCGGAAAGGGAGGCACGGGGAGGCAGCTGCCAGGGGAGATGCCAGGCTGTTCTCATGTTGGTCCCTGCCCCCTGCCTGGCACACTGTCAGCACACAAACTTTCAAACAGGTGGTGTACCTGTGGCTGCTGGGCCCGGGCCGTGGCACAAAGGCACTCAGCGCTGGCAGCCCTCGGCGTGGGCGGGGCCCGCTGACTTTCCAGAGCAGCAGGACTTGTGAGGTCCGGCCGGTGCCCGTGGGGCTGGAGCCAGCAGAGACCACCTGGGGAGGGCTGACAGTCACACGTGGCAAAACCGGGAGAAATCGCACCATGGAAATGGGCAGATGCCACGGATCAGGACTACCCCCAAGAGCCGTGGTCCCACGGAGTGCTGGACTGGGCTGGGCATGTGGCTCACACCTGCTAAATACAGACTGCAGTCCTCACTTCTACTCGTGGGACGGGCATCAAGCTCAGAGTCCACGTGAGGAAGGGTTAACAGCAGACCCAGCTCTGCCCCCCGAGGACACCCTCTGATGTGGGGACCTGAGCAGGTCCTCCCCCCGAGTGGGGGCCTTCCGGGCAGAGGAGGGCGGGTGAGGGTCTTCCCTGTGGGGCTACAGACCCAGCCTGGCCCTGCCCTTCGCACGACCCTGGGCCGTCCCGCCCTGCCGAGCCCAGTATCCCCCCTGAAGAACTGGCCTGACCTCCTGGTTTCTCCCATCTGGAAGACTGCCAGTTTCTCCAAGACTCAGTACGTCCTCAGGCACTGGGAGTCCCGACCTGGGATAGGCGTGCCTCGCCTTTCCAAGGGGAAACTCAGCAGGGGTGGATCTCTGCATGTCCCAGACAGATGCATGTCACCAGACTGGCCCCACTGGTGGCATGTGGCCATCATGCCTGCCTGGTGATGGAGAAGATGACTGGCCATTCACATTGTGGCCTGTGAGCCGCTGCCCACCCACAGCCGGCAGGTGTGCACAGTATGGCAGCAGTGTTCCCACACATCACAGAGCAGCTAGGGCCTGGGCGACGGGGAGAGCCTGCCCTGCTGAGTGCAGTGTGTGCTCTCGGCCCTAAGCTGGTTGCAGGCCCCCTGCTCACACGCCTCCGTGGCAGGGAGCTTGACTCCTCTGCTGCCCCATGACCACGGAGTCCATGGCTGAGCAGCTAGTGGAGAGGTCACCGTTCCCTTTGCGAGAAACCTTGCGCTGGGCTCTGGTACAGATCCTAGGATCCGGGAAGGGGAAGGCGGAGGCGTCCTTGAACAGACCTTGGGACCAGAACTTTGCCAGGATCACTGTGTGTCCTCAGCCACGTCTCTTGACACCTCTGAGCCTCTATCCCTGGCTCTGACGGGGAGAGAAGCACTGCCTGTCTGGTTGCCTTAGGCTGGGACAGCCAACCCGGTGGGAAACACGCCGCACAGGGTCTGCCCGGCTGGTGATGGCAGCACCTCTCTCTGCTGCCTGGAGCGGCCATCTCAGTGGCTGTTGGGGCCAAATGGGTTGATTCTCTCCATGTCACAGATGAATATGTTGAGGCCCAGCCCAGAGACTTTTCGATTTTAAGTAGCTTGCTCAAGCCACAGAGCTAGCCACGGTGACCCTCCACCACCAAGAGCTTTCAGCCGCCTACCTCAGACTCCAGTGCCAGCGAGCCCCAAGTCACCCCAAGTCCAGTCTGCCCTGGTGCCCAGCCTAGTCAGTAAGATGGGCACTTCCAGGGCCAGAACCCAGCAGGCAACAGAACCATGTCAACAGTTTGGTTATCTGTGAGATGGACATAATGGCCATAATCAACAATGCTGAGGTGCAGTCAGTATTCAACACAAGTTCACTCACGGAGGCAGGGAGGGAAGAAGGCAGATCCCACCGTCCGCCTCTGCTCACTCCTCCCTGGAAAGCACCTCAGCAGCGTGAGGTTGGCCCTGCCCGAGGGAGTGCAATGTCCGGCACTGCCTCTGAGTGAGCTCAGGCAGCCAGGACAGTCTAGTGGTCAGACCAAGTGCAGCCTCCTGGAGCCCCCACAGGGCACAGCACAGGGAGGCAGCCCCTCGCCAGCAGGGGCCACTGGACCACCGTGTGGAGCCGCCCAGTACCAGGCAGGACAGCAGGGAGCTCTGGTCCTGAGGGCACGGTGAGGGCGTGGAGGCAGGAGAGCAGAGTGGGGGGTGGCAGGAGTGCCCTGGGAGCACAGGGACCTGCAGAGGAGGCCTCTCAGGGACCAAAGGAAGGGTACAGTGGGGGGAACACGTGGGTGGGGTTGTGTGGCCTCTGAAGAGTCCTGTGTGGCTTGGGGGGCAGTCTGGCCCTTCCACTCCCACCCCACCCGATGGTGGCAGTGTTCTATAGCAGCAGTCACCAGCCTTTCGGACCTCACAGACCACCAGTGGTCCGCGGACCTCCAGCCGCTGTTCTATAGCACAGTCTCTATTTTATTCTTCTTCATAATTAATACGCTGATGTAACATTTTCTTTACTCCCAAATTTAAAAACATGTTGATTTTTTTAAATAACAGCTTTATTGAGGCATAATTCACACTCCACAGAATTCACTTTTGTAAAGTGTACAATTCAATGGTTTTTAGTGTCTTCACAGAGTTGTATCCCCATCACCACTCTCTAATTCCAGAACATTTTCATCACTCCCCAGAAAAGCTGTCCCAGTTCCCAGTCACTCCCACTCGCGCCCTCTCAGCCCCAGGCTGTCTCTATGGGCCACCTCTGCTGGACTCTCATGAGTGGGGCCTCGCCATGGTGCTCCTTTGTGACTGGCTCTCCCCCTCAGCATGACTGACAGCTCATCCAGGTGGCAGCAGGTGGCAGTACTTTGTTTCTTTTTATGGCTGAACTAGAGGCCCAGTGCATGAAAATTCATGCACTGGGGGGGGGGGTTCCCTCAGCCGGGCCTGCCCCCTCTCACAGTCCTGGGGCCCTCAGGGGTGGGAGGCGACCCAGAAATCAGGGGAAGGTGATGCCCCATCACACCTCTGCTGCTGCCACTGCCGGCAGCGCAAGCCTCAGCCGACCCTGGTTACCTGCACCTTGGGCGGCCCTGGGCGGCTGGAGGACTGAGGGGACTGGGGGACTATGGAGGCAGGCATGCGGGCCCAGCCTTACCACGCACCTGCTGCCCTGGCAGGGCTGAGGGGACTGGGTGCCGCCATCTTGTGGCTGTGGACGTCGCCATATTTGAGGGTGAGGCAGTCAATTAGCATATTCCCTCCTTATTGGCTGTGGGTGCCGCCATCTTTGCGACAGCGTGAGGGTCAATTAGCATATTTCATCTTTATTAGATAGGATAATATTCATCGAATGGGTCTGGCCAGTGTGGCTCAGTGGTTGAGTGTTGACCCATGAACAGTTCGATTCCTCATCAGG